CTTTGAATCTCCCATTGATGAAATATCATCTGAACATCCTGAACTACAAACTACCTACTTGCCTAACAATCCCTTCATTAGCTCAATGGAAATGACAACCTTTTGTCCAGCTATGGCATTTTACGCTGTCGTGCGAGGACGGAGCTTAAAGCAGGCTGCTGCGAAACCAGCTCCCTTTAATATATTTTTTAAGAACTATAGTCCAATTATCACTATCTTCTTTGGGGATCCATTCAATTAAGCGCAGTCATAATGAGTGAATGGACACATGGCTCTGTCACCATATCTATAGCCTCATTAATGGGAGCCAGGTAATATAGCTTTAAATCCATCAGTAATTCATACGATGCTTCCCTCCTCCTTCTGCAGTTTGGGTGGCTTTTTCTATCTTTACTTATTGAAGACAAAGGTAATATTTCAAGGGGTTAAAGTGTTTTCTTCAACCATGGTATGGGCCTGACTTTATTCAGTTTTGCAAACGGCATGGCAGTATTTGAAACTGAATGCTGGTTCAGCCATGAGCCCCTAGCCCCTGTCCCGCTATTGATAGGCAGACTGTTTATAGTAAAGGATGCTCTAGTGATGTTTCATCAATGGGAGGTAATTGCTGCAAGATGGCCTCTTGACAGCTGGGGATCTCTCTGTGAGTTTGAATGGGATACCCATCAGGGTTTAAATAAGGTGGCATTTCTCCATCTGAAGGAAGGGAGAATGGGTTCGTGTTTCCATTTGGGAAAGAGAGATAGGAGGTAATGAAGAGCAGAGAGTTTTTTTAAAAAGGCAAGGAGGTTGGAAGAGACAAAGCTTCTAGCTAGAGTTAGCTAGCACTGGCGGTGTACTGATCACATTGCTCTCTGAGGCTCTACCACATGGGTAGGCAAACTAAGGCCTGGGAGCCGGATCCAGCCCAATCGCCTTCTAAATCCAGCCCACGGATGGTCCGGGAATCAGCATGTTTTTACATGAGTAGAATGTGTCCTTTTATTTAAAATGCATCTCTGGGTTATTTGTGGGGCATAGGAATTTGTTCATCCCCCCAAAAAATATAGTCCGGCCCCCCACAAGGTCTGAGGGGCAGTGGACCAGCTCCCTGCTGAAAAAGTTTGCCAACTCCTGCTCTACCATGTAAGCATGCCTATTGATCAATGGCTGAACAGATGCTTTGCTTGCAGAAGGTCTCAGATTCAATTTCTGGAATCTCCAGTTAGAGAAGATAATGCAGACCACTGTATTAGGCTGTACATCATTCATTCCTTATTTACACATAAAAATTCTATCCCACCTATTTCTCCAAAGCAAAGCGACTATATCTCCAGCCAGTAGCAAAAGCAGAATAAAGAAAAGATAATGCCCAACTCACAGACATCACTTCAAATTAGTAAGCTAACAATGCCCAACGTGTTCAACAAATTACATCAGCACAAATGTCAGGGAACTGCCATCAGAGACCAGAAGAGAGGGAGGTCGCCCCAATGATGCAGGGGAGGGGACTAGCAAGGAGAGAGAGAGAGAGCTTCCACTGGGGAAGGCAATCAAGGAGACACCAGGAAGAAAGGGGAGGCTGAGAGCACTTCGGAGGGAGGGCTCCGAGACTCTTCAAGTGAGATCAGCGGCGAGAGCACCGGACCCCCGCTTGGCATGCCCACACTGCGCAGAAGGCTTCCGCGCAGAGAATCCAGGCGGAGACTGGGCGTCAAGGAATTTTTATGTTGGAAGAAGTTTAGAAAACGCCCACTGACAGATTCTGCCAGCGACTGAAGCAGCCGCGCCTAAGGGCTGCTCAGCCAGGGAAAGGCGCAACCACCCCAAGCAGCTTGGAGCAGTTGGTGGTTTACACACAAGCAACCCCAATTCCCATTACAACAAAGATAACACAGAATGAGGTCTTCTTCAACCATCTGGGGCCTGATGGATCTCGCACAGCAAGGCATTCCAGAAGGTGGATGCCACAACAGAAAATGTCCTGCCCCAAGTTGACACCAGCTTTGCCCCCTGAGGCCCAGGCAATCAGAGAAGGGTCCCAGGTGATGAATGAACCATATCGGGGAGACCATAAGTGGTGGTGAAATGCTCCTGTGTACAGTGGTACCTCGGGGTAAGTACTTAATTCATTCCGGAGGTCCATTCTTAACCTGAAACTGTTCTTAACCTGAGGTACCACTTTAGCTAATGGGGCCTCCTGCTGCTGCCACGCCGCCTGAGCACGATTTCTGTTCTCATCCCGAAGCAAAGTTCTTAACCCGAGCTACTATTTCTGGGTTAGAGGAGTCTGTAACCTGAAGCGTATGTAACCTGAAGCATATGTAACCCGAGGTACCACTGTACATATAGGTGCCTATGCACATATAGGTTCCTGTTTCCTTTCTTGTGCAAAGGAAACAGCCATGCTGTCCACTGGGAGCTCTCACCTCTTGGGGAAATGGAGAATATGTAACAGATTCTGCAGCTTCTAACCTGCAATTAATCAATCTGTTCAAAGCCATTGCCCAGAATAATGTTCTGCTGGAAAACAGGAAGGCAAATGTTGTCCCCGAGCCTTGCTAAACGAAGAGCAACACCTTCAGCTTTTCTTTGGCTGCTGTTCCAAGTAGTGACAGTAAGCCTCCTACTACCATAGGAAGCTGCCTTGTACTTGGTCAGGTCAAATCATTGGTCTATCTGGCTCAGCTCTGTCTACACGGACTGGCAGCAGCTTTCCAGGAGTTCAGGCAGGGGTCCCTTCCAGCCCTAACCTGGAGATGCCCTGGATTGTACCAGGGACCTTCTGTTTGCAAAGCAGGTCTTCCACTGAGCTACGACCTTCTTTGTTCAATTGCCCTGTCTGGGGATGAAGCCAATGGAAGCAATTTTCTCAGGCTCTGTTCAGTCGCTGACACTCGCAGCCTCTTTAACATTCTCCACCTACCCAACTGACTTACCCAACGCGAGCCGATTCTGCTGCCTAAGGGTCAATTGTAGCTGACAAGTCTGCTTCAGGCGAGCCAGAGAGCTCCATGCCAGCTCCACCTGGCACCCCTCCTGTTTTCTCTTTCCAAATCTTTTTGACGGCCCATCAGGTCCCCCACTGCTGGCTGCTGACTGGCTGTCAATGTTTCCCTCAAGTTCTCTGAATTCACCAGTGGCCACCTTCCTTCTGCTCAGAGGCGGCGTTCAAGGATTTCCGCTCTGAGGCTTGGCGGGGATGTGTCAAAGCAGCCCGGAATCCTTAAAGCCTTTATGCAGCCTCTGAGCAGAAAAAGGCAGCCCGGGGTGTTTGAAAGAAAGAGACAGAAACGCTGGTGCGGGGAGGGCGGGAGCGGAGAAAGGAAGAAGCAGGGAGGGTGGGAGAGCAAGAGTTTGGGCAGCTGCCTCTCCTTGGGAACTTGGAGGCTTTGAGGCAGCTTGCAAGGATGGGAAGAAAGGGGGGGGGTGCATTACGACTGGCCTCTCCCTGCACATTAGATTTTGGCACTTTAGATCCATGGCTTTCAAAGAAGGAGGCAGGACTCTGAAAGTTACTGCAGTCAGTGCCAGAAGAGGCAGAGTCTCTTCCTGATCTCTCTGACCCTTCACTTTCAAGCAGGAAAAGCATGTTTGGCACAGTCAGTACACGTCTGGAAGCTATAGCTCTATGCTGCAAAAGAGGGGGGGGCGGTTCGTCACCATCATCAACACCATTATTTTGTCATCTTCACTATTTACGAAACTTGCTAGTCACTAGCTGTGACTCACAACCCATTTAAAAACATAAGCACAACTAAAAATATATCACTCTGCGAACCACCCTTATTCTGTGAACCGCCCTGAGATCTTTTGATTGAGGGCAGGCTATAAATTATAATAAAATAATAATACTATATAAACCTATTTATGCAAAAATACATGCGATTCATATGAAAATACACAAAGCAACCCTGCTTCCCTCAAGCAACAACATCATAAAGGTTTGGCGGCACATTTTTAGCAAACAACACCATCATAGTCGATCAAAAGCCTGGAGGAAAGGTACGTTTTCACCTGGCACAGAAAAGGTGTCAGGGAAGGTGCCTGGCAGAACTCACTGGGGAGAACATCCCATAAATCTGAAGCTGCAACTGAAAAGGCCCTTGAATCTGTCATCAGCCACTGAAGCTCTCCCAAAGGAGGGACTTGGAGAAAGGCTTTAGGTAAAGGGACCCCTGACCATTAGGTCCAGTCGCGGACGACTCTGGGGTTGCGGCGCTCATCTCGCTTTACTGGCTGAGGGAGCCAGCGTACAGCTTCCGGGTCATGTTGCCAGCATGACTAAGACGCTTCTGGCGAACCAGAGCAGCACATGGAAACGCTGTTTACCTTCCTGCTAGAGCGGTACCCATTTATCTACTTGCACTTTGACGTGCTTTCGAACTGCTAGGTTGGCAGGAGCAGGGACTGAGAAACGGGAGCTCACCCCACTGTGGGGATTCGAACCGCCAGCCTTCTGATCAGGAAGCCCTAGGCTCTGTGGTTTAACCCACAGTGCCACCTGCGTCCCAGAAAGACTTTAGATTGAGATCTAATGGTCCATGCGTATGGTGGAGATGCAGCACAGGGGAGGATGTGTTTAACCCATCCCCTACCAGCATCACATCCATATCTTCCTCACCCACATTAGAACTGGGGTTCTGGATACACATTTGTCATATCAAAAGCGGAAAGTGGCTGGGAGGCAAGTTGCAGGAGGGAAAGCAGTGCATGGGAGAAAGGGTTAAGAGACCCTCTCCCACCCACTGATTCTCCTCTGCAAATGTCCCCTCTGCTTCAACTCAGAGGCACATCAGGGGTTCCCAGATGCATTCTAGCAGCTGAATATTTTGTTCAGATAAATTACCCTAACTTAAATAAACTTAAGTTAGGGTAAGAGGTGCCTGGGCTTGTTGGAGCTGCTACTTGGGTACCAAGGCACGCGTTGGAGGTGTTGCACTGGGATGGAGGCAAAGGCCCCTACCCCAGTGATGAGAAGCCACCATGCATGCTCATTCTGCTTCCTGTTGAACTCTTACCTCTCTGTCAAGCCCAGCAGCCACTGTGACGATGTCTCCAGTCTCGCTGTTAATGGTGAACATGTTCTGCGATGGGCTCTGTGGGGTTTGCGTCACGATCCGGTACCTCACCATCCCGTTGGCTGTAGTGACGTCGTCTGCATCATTGGCCGTCACTGTCATCACGTAGGTTCCTTCACAGAAGGTGGAAATGAGAACAGAATCAATCACCATCTGAAATGGAGTATGCCTGTATGTGTTGATGAAAGAGTTTAACTGGAAGATTCCGTAGAAGCTAAAGAAGATCAGGAAGAGCTCTCTAAGCATCTTGATTGGTTGATTAACTGATGTTAACTGTTGGTTAACTGTTGTTGTTCTCTGCTAGCCAACACGTGAATGTTTAACCTTAAATCACATGGGAGGCTATTGAATTGCAAATTGCCATCTTGGTCTTTGAAGCACAATATACATCAGGAGGCTTAGTTTGGTCAGAATCAAGTATACACTTCTGGAGTTAACACTAAATACCGTATTTTTTGCTCTATAAGACTCACTTTTTCCCTCCTAAAAAGTAAGGGGAAATGTGTGTGTGTCTTATGGAGCGAATGCAGGCTGCGTAGCTATCCCAGAAGCCAGAACAGCAAGAGGGATTGCTGCTTTCACTGCGCAGCAATCCCTCTTGCTGTTCTGGCTTCTGGGATTCAGAATATTTTTTTTCTTGTTTTCCTCCTCCAAAAACTAGGTGCGTCTTATGGTCTGGTGCGTCTTATAGAGCGAAAACTACGATGCATTACTTCTGGTAAATGAGGCACTGTAGCTGCTAGAGGGCTATAAAATTTGGGTCCTGGGCTTTACCAAAAAAGACAAGAGGACACACAGAGAAAACTTCTGCCATTGTTACTGCTCATGAAAGTAATCCCCTTCCAGGGAGCCATGAAAAAGCAAACAAATTCCTCCCTCTTGAAAACATTGACATAAGAAGAGACCTGCTGGATCAGGCCAATGGTCCACCTAGCCCAGCATCCTGTTCTCACAGTGGCCAACAAGATGCTTGTTGGAAACCTGCAAGCAGGATTTGAGAAGAAGAGCACTCTCCCCGCAGGAGAGTGAACACCAGCAACTGGTATCCAGAAGCATTGCTGCGTCCAACAAAATGCTGCCCCACTTCCACAGGGGTTGTGAAAGTGGGGCGGTGTTTTTGGCAGCGCTTGGAAACGTGGCTCACTAGCGGAGCGTTCATTTAACCTTTCGCAACCACCACCACAACAAAAAAGATGGTATTCACACAAGAATATCAATGGAGATGGCAGGCAGAGCTGCTGCGTTGACCTGGAGCACTTTCCTGAGCACACCAAAAAATGTACTTATCGCCCAGAAATTTACAGAGGCAGCAAGGTTGCAGGCTGAAAGCAGCTGAAATCATCAAACATCCCTGGGCTGAATCACGTAGGGAATGCTATCGTACTGGAGTGCACTGAAAGGAACAAGCCACAAAGAAGCTGGAGCTGAAAGCTTCAGGGTTTGAGTTGGCAGAACCTTCCAAGATAGACTGTTGCCTGGAAGGACACCCCCCAGCTCATATGCTATAGTTCAGGGGTGGCCAACTCCCAAGAGACTGTGATCTACTCACAGAGTTAAAGACTGGCAGTGATCTAACCCCTTTTGGGGAGTTCAAAGTTGTTGAGCTTTTTAAGGGAAAGCCCTGTTTTTTTGGGTTGAGATCAAAGTTTCTTTTAGGAGACCCAAACTTGTTGAGCTTCTTTGGGGGGAGCCAGTGATCTTCCAGTGATCTACCCCAGATGTCCAGTGATCTGCCGGTAAATCACAATCTACCTGTTGGGCGTGCCTGCTATAGTTGATAAGGGACACAATACAATGAGCAGTTATTTTGCACAATCCTCACTGAAACGAACACGCACGGGCACAATAGTCAATTGTGCTGCATGTATCAGGTTTGCTCACTTTGTAGCCCTTAATGGTACTCAAAATCGAAGATCAGAGGTGACCACATCTCCCCATCTCACACAGGACTGTTTATGGAGCCTTCTTTGTACTTGGGGCTCATGGGGTTAACCCAGTTGGACAGAGAACCAAATACAAACCAAGCCTTGGACCTTCCAATCTCTCACAATGCCAATAAAAACAAATAACTACATAAATAAAGGACCTGCCCGTGAGACGCTTGCACAAAACCCCCACACAAACACTATGCAAAGGTCATCACCCCAACCCTCCCTCTCCCCTCTCATTTTCCCCAATGTCTATGACAATAGTGTCTCATACTGAATGTAAACGAGCTGTGAAAAATGACTCTATGAATTGAAAGTGGGGATGCTATATGTACTTTCCCTTGTTTATTTGTTTGTTTTGTATCACAAAAAATCTTTGATAAAAACTAAATTACAATAATAAAAATAATCTTGGACATCTTAGCAGGGCAGGGATTTTCACAGAGGATAAGGCCATCGATGACCTGTAGGTGTGATGGCTATGCTCTAGCATCACTTTTGGAAGCAATATGTCTCTGAATACCAGCTGCGGAGCATTGCAACATCCCATAATCACATGGTCAGCCACTTTGAGAGCAGGGTGCTGGACTAACTAGACAGAGCTCTTCTTACACTATTATGTACACCCATTTTTTGTCATTTCCCTGAGAACTGGATGCTTTGTCCCAAGGTAAATGCTCCATAACTTTCTCCCTAAGGGAGAAACACTATTCATGTCATTCTCTCTCTCTCTCTCTCTCTCTCTCTCTCTCTCTCTCTCTCACACACACACACACACACACACACAAACACACACACACACACACACACACAAACACACACACACACACACACACACACACACACATCTCCCCCCTACCCATTTTTTATGCTTGGACGAAAACTTCTTTGTCACCCAGCTTCCTATACAAAGCACCATGCACTTCCACCATGGCTTATTTAAGTAGTTAGGAACAAAGCACACCCCATTTAAGTAACATGGGCAATGATGTCTTAAGACACAGCTGCAAGGACCACTCACTAGTTCTTTATCTACTTTTGCAGTCTATTGAAACTGAGATTTCCTCAGCACTCCTACTGGTTTAATCCTCTCCTACGTGCAGGAGAGGGGACCACTGTGATCATTCCATCTAGCCACCTGCCACTGCTTTCCTTGTTCCTCCCATAATTTGCTATATCAGGAATAGGGATGGATGAACCTGTCCATTTCGGGTTCTCTCGGTTTCTCATTTTTCCAAACTTCAGTTCAGCTCTCCATATTAGTTTGCACTGATTAGCATTTTGTAATGTGAATTTCTCCTAATGGAAATATTTTAGCACGTGATTTTTGACCAAAGCACACATTTTGCAAGGGACATGGGTGGTGCTGTGGTCTAAACCACTGAGCCTAGGGCTTGCTGACCGGAAGATCAGCGGTTCGAATCCCCACAATGGGGTGAGCTCCCGTTGCTCGGTCCCTGCTCCTGCCAACCTAGCAGTTCGAAAGCACATCAAAGTGCAAGTAGATAAATAGGTACCACTCCAGCGGGAAGGTAAAGGCATTTCCGTGCGCTGCTCTGGTTTCGCAAGAAGCGGCTTAGTTATGCTGGCCACATGACCCGGAAAAACTGTCTGCAGACAAACGTTGGCTCCCTCGGCCAGTAAAGCGAGACCCCAGAGTTGTTCACGACGGGACTTAAATATCAGGGGTCCTTTACCTTTACCCATTTTGCAAATGAATTTCCCCTGTTTAGCAGTTTGGTACGTTAATTTCACCAGTATAGGTATTTTATGGTGAAATTTACCCTCTGGTATGCATCCTTGTGTACATTAGTTGGATGGAGAAGTGCACTAAAAATTCAGAGAAGCACAAATTTTGAAGGGTGAATTAAGTAGGCTTGCCTTTAAATGTGAACGGAATCAGATTCCTTCCCCATCCCTAGTGAGGGCTCCTCTTTTATTCTAGTATCTTCTTCCACTATCCTTTGATGTATTGGGAAGGGACTTGTGCCTCTCTCTGTTTTTATTCCACCCCACACTCACTCTTTCCCCCTGCTCTGTTCACTCCTCCTTCCCACAACTCTTTCAGTGCCACTTTTAATACTTCGCCGCTTCAGGCACTACAAGCCTAGGTTTGATATTCTCATTCTGGCACCTCCTTTGGCGCCTCTCCAACCTTTGTGATGAAAGAGCAACACTTCTTTTTTTTTTTTAATTTAAAGAAATGTTCTGCATTTGCATTAGTCTAGATTTACACTGGATGTACCGAAAGCCACTTCAAGCATGACAAAATCCCTATTTGGGGCAATGCTCCTGGCTTGCAACTCAAGAGTGGATTAGGATGTGTGACAACTGCACACATGTGTACTTTATTGTGTCAGTGCACATGCCGTTTCCGAAATCTAAGTGCTCTTCCTGAGAGCACCTTTATTGCTCAAGTGATAAACGACCTTCTTGAATTCAAGGGGGTAACGGGCAAACATTTATTTTTCTTTCTAAATGGGTTGGTCTTGATCAGCGTTCGCCTCTTGACATTTCCCACTAACATGAGAACTGCCAAAGCTCTGGTCGATGAGCTGAAAAGGTTTCCTGGTTGACTGTTGCCCCTCCTGGCACCTGCGGAAAGCCACATTTGATGGATCTAGCATTGATTCCTATTATCATTATTGGGACGCGGGTGGCGCTGTGGGTAAAACCTCAGCGCCTAGGACTTGCCGATCTCATGGTCGGCGGTTCGAATCCCCGCGGCGGGGTGCGCTCCCATTGCTCGGTCCCAGCGCCTGCCAACCTAGCAGTTCGAAAGCACCTCAAAGTGCAAGTAGATAAATAGGTACCACTCCGGCGGGAAGGTAAACGGTGTTTCCGTGTGCGGCTCTGGCTCGCCAGAGTAGCTTCGTCACGCTGACCACGTGACCCGGAACTGTCTGTGGACAGCACTGGCTCCCGGCCTCTAGAGTGAGTTGAGCGCACAACCCTAGAGTCTGTCAAGACTGGCCCGTACGGACAGGGGTACTTTTACCTTTACCTATTATTATTATTATTATTATTATTATTATTATTATTCCAGATCAGCAGGCATGCTTTGTCATACCCCCTGGGCTTCTATCCACACAATGACCTTGTGAAGTAGGCAGAAGACAAAATCAAGATTCAAGATTACCTTAATAGATTGGAGAACCGGGCCAAAACTAAGAAAACAGATTTAA